ATTTGAATTTATAATCCTCGACTTAATTTTTCAATCAGGATATAAAATTGTATGTTCAAATTTCATATGTGCCCATAATAAAGAATGAAATCTAAACTGCTATAAATGATTGCGCTAGAGTTCTAGAATTATAGTTGTTTCTTTTCTTTCCGTCTTAAAATTTTTCTGAATTCCTTGCATATTTTAAAAATGGGTTAGTGGGCCGGGGATTTAGCTCAGTGATTTTGCTGCCTGCTGCGCAAGGGAAAGGAGCCGAGTTCAATCCCTGGTACAAATAAAAAAATTAAATAAATAAATAAATAAATAAATAAGTAAAAATGGGTTAGAAATTCATCCAAGCCAGTGTTGATATAGGGGGAAGACATGTAACTCCCAAACCTACTAAGTATCTGAAACGCGAGTTCGTGTTCTCTAAAATTGAAGAATGAATTCTAGGAACAATGGAGGTTAAGAGTAGGAAAAATTTATTGAGAAAGCTTCTGCCTATGAGAGACAGAAGGGGGACCAGAAAGTGGGTTGCCCGCCCACCCCACTTTTCAAAGATGTTTTATACAGCAAAGCCATGAGGTGACGGTGGTGAATGTGTCTTGATTGTGCTCCCTGTTGGCTCCTTCTGGGCTGGCCCTGGCTAACTGCCTACAAAATACCTAATTAACTTACCTACTTACAATAGTGTGACCTTTCAGCAAATGTCCAAGCCTTTAGTAAAACACCAATGATCTTCAGCAACTTGAAGAGGAAGGGAAAGCCATACATTCCCTCCTCCATAAACTTGCAAGCAGATGGCATGTTCCAATGAAAGCAATAGCCCACATTCTTCTAAACATGTAATGCTTATTAATTAGAAACTTCACATTTGTTTCCTGTAATCCCAGAGAATTTCTTGGACCCATAATATGAAAATAAAAGTTGGAATGAAACTTTCATTGTTAAGCAGACACACCATATTCTGAGGACAAGATCTGACAGTGTATTGACAGCTCTGTGAAGTGCAGAAAGAACATATGAGGCTCTAGGCCCTGAGCATCACTAGATGCAACGCATACTTAACACCCTCTTCCTGAGAAGATGATGAAGACCAGACGGTTTTTCTAGTGAATCACTTATCTTTTTCTTTTTTCGTACCCAGGATCGAACTCAAGACCTTGCACTTGTGAGGCAGGCGGCGGAACCACTGAGCTAAATCCCCAGCCCAGAATAACTTATGTTGACTACTACTCATTTCAAAAATTGATTCCTAACATACTTTATGCAACTTAATGAATTTACTGGTGTAAATTTTGATAAAGCTAATTGAAATGATTAAAAAACCATCTTTTGAAAGTGGATTCCTCATTAGGATACTTCGAATGCTAACTACGTGTCTCTGGAATATATGATAAAGTTCATTTACACCTATACATATTTTGCACTACTCATTCTCAGGAAGAAACTTTTTTTTTTTTGGTACCAGGATCGAACTCAGGAACTTGCGCTTGCAAGACAGGTGCCAGAACCACTGAGCTAAATCCCCACCCCACTACTCATTCTCAAAAATGTCTAAATTGCTGCCTAAAGACTGCAGTTATTGGGATGGGGGGGTGCAGTTATTGGTTTTGCAGTCAAATGCTCTACCACTGAGCTATACCCCCAAGTTATTGGTTTTTGAAAAAGTAAAATCTATATTTTCTCCAGCTGTTTTAAATATTATTATTTTACTTTTGCTTTTTATAACAGCTTACTGTCTCCAAAGTTTATTCTCACTAAATACTTAGATGAAAAGTGATATCCAGAAAATCTCATTTGGCTAGTAAGTGATCAAAGTATGAGATCCAACCTAAGACTCAGTTCTCCTGTTCTTAAATCCTTGTTACATGACTTGAAAATTGGGAACCCAAGTGTCTGTAGTGTGTCAAGACAGAGGATGGAAAAATATTCTTGAAGCTAGTAATGCTGTTGAAACATTGTAAATAGTTCAAAGTGGCTGGCCATTTTCATGCTGTGCATAATGGTCATTTGGAAATCATGAGAGAATATTTCTCTCAATGCAATTTAATTAAACGTAAACATTTCCTTGTGATAGTAGTATTAGAAAACTATCTGAGGAAATGAATAAATACATTAAATCAATGGAAAGGAACACAGGTTTGCGCTATGACCCCTCTCTGATCACTGGAAAGTAATCAAATAAATGAATTTCTGTTGCTGTCTATTCAGTCCGTCTCCAAAGTTACTACCTTTAGAGAGCTGACTCGTAGGGAAGCTCATTTTAATGCCTTACCATTTCCCACTCAGTCAAATAAATCCAGATAATATCTAAAATAAAATATTTAAAAGTAACTTAAAAGATAAATACGCTTTAAATGATTTCAGTGAAATAATAGGTATTTCAAAAGATTAATCATGGGCCGGGGATTTAGCTCAGTGGTTTCGCCGCCTGCTGCGCAAGCTCAAGGACCCGAGCGCGACCCCCGGTAACAAAAAAAAAAAAAAAAGATTAATCATAATAAAACTAGACTAATTATACTAAAACGAACATAAAATCACTGTGAATGTGAAAATCATGAGTGCAGAGTTGGGAACTGTGTTGTTGACTCAGATATAGTTACAGTCACAGTGGGTTTCCTGGGGAAGAGGTTCCCCGGGAACGAGATTCCCTGGGGACATGGAGATTGACAGACAAAATATTTATTAGCAAATAACTATGGAGAAGTGAGGGAAAGGAGGATTGAGGGCAGAAGTTTCACTGAGCTGTGTCACAGTAAAGGGCGCAGCCAACCTAATCGGGAGCTCCGGACCTAGGCTAAACCCTTTATACACCTGTATCAGTTAATTAGTCAATAGATGAAGGATGCCCCCCAGGAGGGTGGGCAGAGGTAGTTTTAGGCAAATAGCTGTCATCAGCTGGTGGCAATTCCCAGAGAGAGACTCATGTGAGAGGTCAAACACCAGATTGCCACTGCTGGTAGCTAAGGAAATGAGTAAGTCAATCCCAGAGAGCGCAGAACTAAGCAGCAAACTATGTCCCTACATCATCTGCCACAAGCCTCCTTGTGTGCTGCTCAGGTCCACTTCTTTTTTTGGCCAGGCCTAGGGGAGACTCCTCCACAATCCTGGTGCATTTCTTTTCCTGAGGAAAACTGCATGATGAAGGTTAACAGGGCTACCTACAGTGCCACTGCTGCAGCTGGTCTCCGGGTCCCTCCCTCTGGATTCCTGACAAGTACTCCTCAAAACTGTCAAGATCACTGAAGACAGGGCAAGCCCAAGAAACTGTCAAGCTAGAAGGGTTCTATGGAAATGTGACAACTAAATGCAGTATGGTGTCCTAGATGGGATCTTGGAACAACAAAACACCTGGTAACTACGAAGCATATCTGAATAAGCTATGGGCTTTAGTATGGACTTTAGTTAACAGTAATGTCTGGAGTCTCCTTGGGGTGGAAGGATGATTTTAGTTTACTATCTTGGCCAGGGGGTGGAGAACTTGCAGGGATTCCTACCAGCTTTCCCATTGAGATAATTTTTAAAACCAAGAATAGTGGTTCTGCAAACACCCGAGTATGTTCATTCCAATAATTTATCCTGGAAGTGGAGTGATGTCTACTGGAAAGATCCATGAATTCGGTGGACCTATTGTATGACATGGGAAGAACTCCATCTGTTATCTGAACCACATATGCTCCCACTCTAAGTGGCAGGCTACAGGAATATTCTGGTTCCTGAGTATCTACATCAACTTGGACCTTGTTTCTCACAGTACTCAGAGTATTTGTGTACTCTCCTTCCACAATGTACAGTAAGCCTAGCAAACAATCCTAGAGGAATCATTGGTATACACACTTGTGGTGGAGTCACAAGTTCGTCTTGGGGATTGGGCCTTCAGTCAATAGTTTCTGGTTTGAAAAAATAGTGAAGATCTAGAAACTCACCAAGAATTGATAACCTTGTATTAAGGTAGCTGTGTGCTAGCTCCTATCACCCTCCTTGAGATCATTCAATAGCACAGCTTGAGTAATACTCTTACCATCTACCCATTTAATTTACCATGTCCTATTCACCATCACCAAAGCTCTCAGCAGGCCACGCATTATGATAATTGTGCCCACTTTTCTCTGACAGTGAAACACTGTCACTGGGCCCTATTCTTCCACACTTCTGCCAATGGTGAGTCCAGTTCTATGACAGCATCTGGCCTATAGATCTCAGTGACACTGGCACCCCTTGCCAACACATCCTCATCTCTAGATGAATGTGCCTTCTTGGGGGTCCCCGCCCTTAATAAAACACAAATACTTTATTGTTCTGTGCAGTAACACCCAAGGAATATGAAATCAGGTGTCAGATCTTCTAGTTACAGGGACTCCCCTGTTATACACAAAAATAACTATTAATATGAAAATTTCCATCCATCTACCACTTGAAATCACCCTGCACCCACAGATGAATCTTTGAGAAGTACTAAAAGCAGTCAACAGGAAATGATTAAAGGTAGAAAAACCCTCTTGCCCTCTACACATATACAACCCCTGGTTCTGCTGAGCATACCTTGACTTTCAAAGTGTGCTCGGTAGCACCTGAGCCATCCTCATATACTGCAACCTCCACTCACTTCAGCAAGATCCGCCCCTGGTTATCCCCAGATGTCCTTAAACCCATCTGTCTCTCAACTTTTCTGCCCTTTAATTTAAAGGGATTATGGAAAAAGTATCTATTTCTTCTTATTTGTCAGAAATATAACATGCATCCGATTTACATGTACAGAAACCTTTAATTCCTTGAAAAATGTTTTCCTGGATAGTTCGATGTATTTTAATAACCATAAAGACAATTTTCCCTGTACTTGTTCATTACCAAAAATAAAAACTATGGTAACAATTTATATCCATATATCCAAATAATAATAATCTTATCCATTTTGACATCAATAAAGGCAGAAAGACAAGAATTTTGAGTATAGAAATTAAAACAATATAATGTTTTAAGATTTTTTTATTGTTTCACTGTATGTTATCTTCTTCTTTTTTTTTTTTTTTTTTTTGGTATCAGGGATCAAACTCAGGACTATGCGATTGAGAGGCAGGGGGCGGCAACACTGAGCTAAATCCCTGGCCCTATATGTTATCTTCTAAGTGTCTACAGAAGAGAGGGAACACATCTTTAGGCTAATTTTAAACAACATGAGACAGGGATTAAGTGCTAAGTATAAAAAATAAAATAAAACTTTTAGTTTACATATTAAACTAGGAAGAATGTTCCTGAGATATATCAGTTAAATTGGCCTGTAATGCCTTAAGAAATGGACATCACAGGGCTGGGGATTTAGCTCAGTGGTTCCACCATCCGCCTCACAAGCAAAAGGTTCCGAGTTCAATCCCTGGTACCAAAAAAAACAAGAAATGGACATCATGGATCTCCTAATAAATATTTTAAACATTGTGTACACTACCATAAAAGCTAATAGGATATGAGAATTTTCAAGTCACAATCCCCTGGTCAGACCAATACAAGTCAGAAGACCAATACAAGTCAGAAGTGCAAAAATCCATAAAAAATAAAAATATTGCCATTCTTTTTAGAAATTTACTGATATGTCCTACAAAGCCTTAAAGGCTTCTTAATAAATTGAACCACAATCTCTTGGCAAGCTCCTGGCTTAAGTAGCAGATAACTTTTGAAGCTGGATTTCTCAGTATGTGGACAGATGTAAGCTGCACTGGACAAACTGCTTCATTTTGAAAATCATCTTTGGAGTGGAAGAAAGTCCAGCAATGACCTTCAGTGCCATATTGCCTGCACACTGCCAAGTCTGTATGGCAGGTCCCTGGGCAGGTGTGACTCTCAGCTCAAAAGCCGGAAACAGATTAAAGACAAGTTATGGAAGTGGAAGCCAAACATTTCTGTTTACAGATGCTACCCCAGGTAAAATGCCAAGGGCTTTTGGACTAAAACTGAATAAGCAAAAATGAGGTAACCAGCTATTAACAATGTTGAGGGTTTATGATGCATGTACCACAAGACAGACTTTTCACATGTAGCTGTTGGAACTCACTTATGGGCAACACTTCTAGACATTTCTATTATCTGATTCATCTCAATTCTGAACAATCATAACTGATATTCAGAATGATGCCTCTGACATTCTTCAAAGCTCTACCAGATTTTCCAGATCAAACAGAAGTTATATAACGCCTAGTACTATTTGGAGCATTTTGCCCAGTATTACCATATTTTATAATTATTTTTAATTGGTAATCCATTGTGGGGCTCAAGGATAGCTCTAGTAATCATATTGTTTTATTAATTAGAATATCCCACTCCCCCAGTAAGATTAATGATTAGAGCTTATTATACATTCAAAACCAAAGCTGAGGCGATAGGCCGTTGGAATCTGACCACCCACAATGAACTATCCCACTAAGTTTTCTCTAGATGCAAGAGCATCAGGGTGTTTCAATGCAATGGGAACATTTTTTAGAATAATGTCTTCACAAGACCTTACATCTTTGTAGGACTCAGAATCATTTCTCACTTAGCAAGCCCTCTATTTGCTCACTCTCTTCTACATGTGCAGTCATCCAATTTTGGTTAGCTATTGAGTCCCAGTGGAAGAACTCTCATTCTCCTTTAGAGCTTGTCCTTTAGGGACTTGGAAATGGACAGTAGGGTTGTTTTTTCTGGCCATCTCCCAGGCATGAGACCCCAGACCTCCTGGGGTAAGTTCGACTAGCAATTTTAAAGAATTCTTCTGCAGCATCAAGAGCAATGAGTCGGTCCTGAAAAAAAAGAGAGAGAAAAGAAAAGGAATAAAATTAGAAACCAAGTCAGATGGATGGGAAATTCAATCTAACAGAAACAAAACCCATCCTAGAACTAATGATGACCAAGTAAAATATTTATTAAATTTCTTAACAAATTCAGAGACACATCTTAATCCTTTACTTATATTATCCAAGAAACACTCTACCCATGCTAGAGCCCTTTCAAATTACTTTTCAATCTGAAGTCAAATAAACAATATCTCTTACACCTCTTTGACCTACAAATGGTTCAAAACCCTGACTGTACAGCAGAACCAGCTGAGAAACACAGATGCTTAAGCCACAACTCAAGCCTCGGTAGCTTTAGGTATGTCAAGAAATCTTCATTTTCAAAGATTTTCAGGTGCTTCTGGTGTTGCTGGCCACTGGAAACCAGTGCATATAAAGGTGGTACTGCCTGCCACCTTGTCCTTTGGTGGTGCCGGTGGTGCTGGAATGGAGCATATGGAACAACAGGAAAGACAAAAATCTACAGCAAAACCAGGGCAGATGAAGAAAGGTATATACTTACCACAACAAAGAGGTATCTCTCTGAGAGCTCCCAATTGGTTGGAAAAATACTGGTCTCTTCCGCCAGTTTTAACAACATCTCTCGAGCTTTCCTCGTGTTTTTAGAATCACTCATGGTGCTAAGTTTAGTCACTGACAACAAAGAATCCACCTCCTTTTGAAAACCTGAGGTAGAAAAATTTACCCTTCATGTAAAGTAGTCAATAGGAAATGACTGTCCTATAATCCTGGTCCCTGCCAGAGATAAAAAGGGGACCCAAATGCAGAATCTGCACAAACATCAGAAAACTGAAGCCAGTGGCAGTCTTCCATGTGCTGCTTCCCAGCACAGTGTGACTGGCAGGGTCTTGAATTAAAACTCTTTTCATGTTTCTTCTTACTGACTCCCTTGTTAGCATTTTCTCTGAGTTACACCTCATATACTAAGCCACTGCCTGCCTGCTGCCCTTTGTTTAGTCTGAAACTCTCTTCCCTGTCCTTCCTTATCTTCACCGCCCCAACCTGTCCCTAGAATTCCTACCTGCCCTCAACCTGCAAAGTGGTCACCTCCAGGCACCTCCTGCTCCAAGCCCAGATTTCCTTCCTCAGGAGGATGCGATGGCTGGCTGGTGAAAATAATTTGGCCAAAAGAGAAAATACTTAAACCTGCCTAGGTACCTTACCTTGTGAAAACGGAGACTGTTAACTCACAGTGACACTGGGTGAGTTAAGAGGGCAGAAGTTCATTTCATCTCGATGTACGCCAACTAAAGCATCAGGGGCTATTAACTCACAGTGACATTGGGTGAGTTAA